TGGTACACGGGGCTTTCGCACCCTGTTTTTTTGTCAGGGGGGTACTCTTGCTCAAGCTGCGTCCCTGGCCCCCTGGCCACAATAACAACGGCGTCTGCTTGCGTTGTTTTGGTATTTGATGCAGGAATCGCGCTTTCGCTCGCGACTTCCTTGCACATCGCGTAATTATTACGCTCTCGTAGTGGACGTCCTGAGAATCGTGCTCTCGCCTGGGAGTTCATTTTAACAGATTCACGTATCGCGCTCTCGCCTGGGATGTTCTGGCAAGCTGCTCAGGGACTGTGCTCTCGCTTCATACGTCCAGACACCTTGAACGTCAGAGATCGCGCTCCCGCAGATTCTGAGTCGCGCTCTCGCCTGGGAATCCGTCACCGCTCGTCCGCTCAAATGTTCCGCTCGCCCGACCCGTCCGTCAGGGTCTGCCCGCCAGTCCCGCCCGTCAGGGTTGGCCCGCCCGACTCCGACCCGCCCGCTTCAGTGTCCCGCCCGCTGGGGCCCGCCCTTCCGCTTGCTTGGAAGTCCGCCCGCTTCATGTCCCGCCCGCCCGTCCCGCCCGCCAGGGGCCGCCCGCCCGACCCGCCCGCCTGACCCGCCCGCCCGCCGGCAAGCCTGCCCATCCCGATTGTGGGCATGGCGAGAGGAAACCTCCAATGGTCAGAGCGTGCATTACCTACCCCGCTTTCGCTTCCAGGCGAAACCAAGCCATACCACGCGCCTCCTCGTCAAGCGGCCTGACCAGCGCAGGCTGTAGTTTGGCATCGCTTGGTATCTCTGTGAAGGGAGGGTGGTCAAAAGCGAGGTAGGTTTGTTTCCCCCCTATTGTAGACGAAGAGCGCGGGAGTCGAGAGCTTCGGGTGCACAAGGTAGACTGCATGGGAGCCGTGCAGAGCAACCGTCCGACAGTGATTGCTGCTGAGTGCGATGATGGGAAGGAGGACGACGAGTTGGAGGGGGAGGGGGAGGAGCAGAAGGATGAGGAGGCCGAGGGGAGTGGCGAGGGCGAGGAGGGTGAGGAAGGATATCGAGGATGACATGGAGGCGGACCGGCAGCAGCATGAGGAGAAGGAGCAACGGGGCTTCTAAGGCTAGGCGGGGCGTGTCCTGCCCAGGGCCTCCGCTGCTGCCGGCGACGATCAGACTCTACTCAGCCGTCGGAGCTAACCGTGGCTCGATAACAGCAGAAAAGAGCACTCCTCCTCGCGATCGTCCTGCTGCTGCCGTTCCTCCTTCCCCTCTTGCTCTTTCTCCTCCTTCTCCTCCTGCTCCTCCTCCTTCTTCTCTCCATCCGTCGCCCACCTCTCCCTCAGCTGCTCCTCCTCGTCCATCTGTCCCTCCTCCTCTTCCCCGCTCTTGCTCCTCGTCCGTGCCCGTCTGGGAAAGTCGGGCCTCCCTCGGGGCTGCCTCAGATGCGGAGACCCGCAGCCTGGGCTGCCTCGTGCAGCAGCTGCACGGACGGAGGGCGGATCTTTTCAAGCGTTGACCTCCAGCACATGGCGAGGGAGGAGGGAGGAGGGAGGAGGAGGAGGGAGGAGGAGGAAGGAGTGAGGAGGAGGAAGGAGGGGGGAGGGGGAGGAGGAGGAGGAGGAGGAGGAGGAGGAGGAGGAGGAGGAGGAGGAGGAGGAGGAGGAGGAGAAGGAGGAGGAGGAGGAGGAGGAGGAGGAGGAGGAGGAGGAGGAGGAGGAGGAGGAGGAGGAGTAAGTGTAGGCTCGGGCAGCACTCACACGGGTGAGGGACGGTGTCTCTCAAGACGAGCACAGTGAGGATGGGGCAACTTTCCAAGGCTACCCTTGCGTCCTTGTCCCTTCGGTATTCGGCATCCTTCGGCATTCTGCTGCGCTCCGCACGGAACACGTCAATATGGCGTTCCAAGGCCCTTGCATCCTTACCGCGCATCCTTACTATCCTGGTCGAGTGTATCTCGTTTGACACCTCGTTAAAAACTATGGGTGCCCCATGCTCGCGTTCTTTACACTCGCTGCACGGATGCAAGGCCGTTTTTTCTCACGGAGGGGTGTTTGCCCGAATGGCAGGCTCATGGGGTGTTCGTCTTTCCACGGGGTGCTCACTGCAGTGAAGCAGAAGGCTTGTGGAGTTGTGTGAAGGGGGATTCGGGTCTGGAAGGTGTAACTAATCCGCAATACCCGGCATCGCTGACACATCCTGAGTTTATTCTGGCCCTCCTCGTCCTCCTCTTCCTTCGAAAGCTCCCCTCGTCCTCGTCTGATCGGGTGGGCCAGGCGGGACCGGGGGTGGGGAGAGGACATCGTCTCACAGCTCTTCTTGTCCCTGTCCCCCCTGACCGCGACGCTTCCCAATTCACTTTCCTTCTCTCGCTCCCCCATCTCCCTCTCTGTCTCTTGTTTCACGTGTCTCTCTCTCTCACTCGTTCTCTCTCTCTATATGGCCCGTGATCCCGTCTTAGGCCGCACGACCTGATTGCACGTGTATGCGTGTGTGTGTGTTCGTGTGTGTGTGTGTCTTTCTCTCTCTCTTTCTCTAT